GGGTATTTGAATATACCACCATGACCTACTCAACCTCAGGAACATCCCCATATTTTTTAGAAAAAATTTCCAAGCACCCACGCACCATCACGCGCGGACCAAGGCACGGCCAGACACGCGGCTCACGTGCGGTCAAACCCTAACTGAGCCTAACGGCCGTTAGGAATATTCCGTTAAAACCTTAACAAAAATTAACGACGTTACTTGATGCCGTTAGAATATTCCGTCAGACTTGATGGAATGTTTCCCTTCATCTTCCTTGGAACGCCGGAGATCGTCGTCGGTGCCGCTGCGATTGCCGGTTTCTGGAAAAATATTAAAACCTTCATATCTTCTTCATTTCTCAACCAAAATTCATGAAATTTGAACCAAAATGAAGCTTAGGGCTAGAGGAACAAAACCTTACCAATTTTAAGCCTTAAAATCCACGAGATCTCGCCAGAGAAACCTCGATAATTCGGCCAAAACTTGAAACTCGCGAACTGGGACTTCTCGACGTCCAAAACACTCCAACTTTCTTCCCCGAGCCTCGTGAAGATGTTTTAAGGCTTCCTATGACCTTAAAACTCGCTGAAAAGTCCACATTTACAACTACATGAATAGTAACCCAAATCGGGGATCCTGGTTTCACGGGTTTTCGAGGTTTTCACGTTGAACTAAGGGTATGGATGAGCTCCTGAGTTCACAAGGAACACAAAAGTAACCTCCTCGACGTCGATCCGAGTAAGATGAAGCTAGTTTGAAGAGTGACCGTACAACTTGTACGGAAAATGGATAAAATCTAAGAGAATGAGAGAGAGAAGGGTCAACGGGTTGTTTGGGTGTGTGTGAGTGGTCCTAGTTTGGGTTACCAACCAAAAGAAACAAAAGCTTAGGTTCTAGTTGGGTCCAAACATTTAGAGACTTAACATATTGGACCACCTCTAAAAGCATGTCACACACAACACACCTCAACGTCCAAGGGCAAAACAGACATTTCACACTGACGATAAAATAATTCGGGACAGGCTGTGACAAAATTAGTATTTAAACAAAGCGAGTGAATACCATCATCCCTAACTAAGATGCCAACACATAGTCCCCTATGTTAACATGAGCCACAGAGAAGAGGTAGTTCAACATGTTAAATGGAAAGAAAAGGAGAAAGCCGAAATAGCAATACTATATGTTGGACAAACACCAAAAAAAGGAAACGAAAGATCATTCCATGGAGAATAATGAAAACCACATAAGCAAGTATGTGGGGTATGTTAAGATAATTTGTTCATTGTCTCGTCCATCTTGGTCGGGCAACCTGTTTTTATTAGAAAAGAATAGACATCCATGTTAGAGAAAATAATCGTTAGAGTGAAATATATGTCTCAAATGCCACAAAGCATGAAATTATGTCTCTAGCTTTTCCCTTTCCAAACATCATCTTTTATTTTTATTTTAGCCCACCACTTCTACTTCTTTAATATAGCTGAAACTATCAGCTGTTCGAACTGGGATATAAGTCAGCACATATATTCGATTATCATGGTTTTTGGATATGTTATAGAGGAGATGATAAGGAACAACTTTTGTGAAGGAAGTGTTTCGATTCGAGTTACGAAAAATGGGTTTTGATGCTCACAACATGGCTATCCAGTTTTCTGCGGGATTAGAGACATGAGTTGGTATTTCAAACAATGGACGATCACATTGTTGGATGTTTATGAAATTTTGATATATTATGGTAGAGAGACAGACGAACAACTCTCATGAAGGAAGTATTATAATAAAATATATGGATGATGGTGCTTTGATCTGTTAAATAGGTTGGACGAATTTCTAGTCTTGGATATCTTTCTTTTGATAGATGAAAATGATAGTAGTTTGATGGAGAGATTTGTTGGGTAAGGCTCATGTATTTTTCCGGGATTTGTCTCACACTCTTTGTACATCATCCTCAAGAGAGATAAATAGAGATTGCCGATAGTTTGGTGGAAGTGCTTCTCATGGAAAAGATCTCAAAATGTAAATGCATAAACACACAAGATTTAAGTGGTTCGCCAAATTGACTACATCCACTGGGGTTTGCTTTCATTGTATTTCACTATATATGAGGGACTTACAAATACAATGAAAGATGGCTTAAAACCTTAACAATATGTAAAAGAAAGGTAATTGGATAATATGAAAGGGAGGATGGTTTTTTATTGGAGTTGTTCTTTTTCTTTTTTTCTTTTTCTTCTTCTTCCTCTCTCTTTTCTTCTTCCTCTTTCCTCTATGTCCTTCCTTTGTTTCTTTTCTCCTTCCTTTATGTAGATTGCATGACATCTTCTTCTCCAAAGAATCTCCACAAGTGTGCCAATGGAAAGAAAGCAAGTGTTGTGCTAATCATTAAACATGAATGTGTTCAAATAGAAACATACCAAATGTTAACCTAATCATCATCATGAAATTTGTTCCAATCACAAGGCAACAAATGTTATTCTCATCATTAACAATGAAATGTGGTCCAATAGACAAACAACAAATGTTAAGCAAAACCTTAGCTCTAATATGTGTTCAAATGGCAAAGAGACATGTGTGAAGTTAATCAATATTATGCAAGGTGGATACAAGCATCCAAGGCCACGTTCATCTCTAAGGAATATGAATCCCACCTCTTCAAACTTTGGAGGGATGAATCATCACCAAACATTTAGCTCTTAGATTTCTAATGATACAAACTTACCAACTCACCCTTAAGTAGACTTCCACCTTCACATTTAGAGTGGTGAGTAATCACCAAATCATTAACTCCTAATGCTACAGACTTTCCACCTCATCCTATTTAGAGTAGTGACTAACCCCTCCCCTTTATTCTCTATTGGTTGCCAGAACACCACTTAGCTTTTGTGAGAAAAATCTAGCCAAACTCATCATAATCCCCTTCTCCAATTCAAACTAAAAATATCCCTAATTACATATGAACATGAAATAGCTAGTTTTTGAAATAATTTGTAGGAAAAAAGGATTTTACATTGAAACTATTTTACATACCGAGAATTGGTTCTTGCAAAAAAATAAATCAAATAAAATCATTACGTAAAAATAATTACCTAACATACACCCATATATATAACCATTTTTTTTTAATACGGGGTATTACATAACACTACAAAGATAAGGCTTTAATGGACTACAATTTGTTGAACACTCTCTCGTATTCTAGCATTTAGTGCACCTTATATATAGACAATGTGAATATCAAACAATGATTCATGACTATGGGGGGACTTGCCTATTTATAGAGGTTAAGATACATTTTTGGAAAGTATGTGACTATTTATGAAGAGTAAAAAATTGTAACTATTGATTTAAATTCAAGTGTGGACAGACAAATCTTTCTATCAAAAGACACCGCTTTTAATTTCCAATCAATTTATATAAGATCGGTATTAGTTTTCCAATAGCATTAATGACCTGCATCAGTGAGTAGTTGTATAATTATAATTGATTTGTATTCTTCTTTTTATTTTCATTTTCTAGGCCAGTAAAATGTTTTTTAAAACTTGTAGGGTGCTTGTAATTTAGTTGGTTAAGAACATTCATCCTTATATTTGTTGTCATGAATTTGAATCTTTCGTCCCCATTATTTGATGTATAAAATAACATTAATTACTTTCTAAAGCCTTCATAATTAAAGTAACAATTTGAGCATAGTTACAATTACATACTTCATCACTATTGTCCCTCAAATTAAATATTTTCTTTCCCACAACCCTTAATAAAACAAATGCTAATAATTGTAAGGATATGAAGTTCAAGGTCTGTCACTGGAGAGTTAAGAAATTTGGCATGGCTACTCTCCTTATTGTCAATTAATTAGTTTTAGAGTGGAATCAACTTCATTCATCATGGCAATTCATGGTGTTGAGTTTGCCCAAATGTGACAACCAACATCCACATTTGTTGCATGTCACTCAATTAAAACTATCCACGTGCTAGCTAGATTAAAAAATTTGTTACACAGGAGAGAGCGTGTGAGAATATAAAATTCAAAGTCCCACATCAAAGAATTAAGAAATATTACATGAAGTTATATGGAGTTAAGTCACTCCCTATTGCATGAATGCTTGAAAAATTGTCTTTTAATGATTGAGCGTTTCCATAAAAGAACAAGAGGGATTTAACTATGGATGTAGAATTTTTCAGGTCGACGAGTCGAGGGCCCACTCCAACAACATCGATATTGTCTCCACTTTACCACCTGCCCAATCCATTAGGTGTGGGGTTTTATCACAAAATGCCTCAGTGTTAATTAGAGTGGGATAATTCTATTCAAATTGTTTATCTCCTTTCCCTTTGGCCGATGTGGGATAAATGGGATTCCAACACGCCCCCGCACGTGAGACCCCATTTTGTGGGTCACATATGGAGATCCACACATTGGCAACCACGTGGAGCCAAGTCAGGGCTCACCCAACACGCGGGGCCAAAAGGGGACCCACTTAATCACGTGGCAACTTTAGCCTACATGGAGCCATGTCGGGACTCACCTATCGCGCGGTGCCAATGGGGACCCACCCAATCACGTGGCAGTACAAGCCCATCCCCTGGCTCTGATACCATGTAGAATTTTTCGGGCGGATGGGCCGACAGCCCACTCCAACAACATCGATATGTCCCCACTTTATCACCTGCGAAATTCGTTAGGTGTGAGGTTTTCTCATAAAGGCCTTGGTATTAGTTAGAATGGGGTAATTTTATTCAAAGTGCTTCTCTCCTTTCCCTCTGCCGATCTGAGATAAATGGGATTCCAACAATGGATGGATCATGGAACGTATTACATGTAGTCTCTATTAGACATACACATACATCACCACCATGCAACAAGGGCAATTACTCAATACATCAGATGCCCTTTCTAACCTATATTATTATGCACCATACGATTAAAGTTGATATTAGTAATCAATAAAGAAAATAATGACAAATTAGGTACGATACATCATCATCAACCCATCCAAAAATATGCACATAGATTTCACACATAATTTGTTTATATATATTAGGGTTCTCTTTCTTTCTCCTATACCTCTAACTTTGGACAAACAGATCTTGAAATTGTAAAATTAAGCTGCAGCCATGAGTAGAGGTGGGAGCTATGGTGGGGGACAAAGCTCATTGGGGTACTTGTTTGGCTCAGATGATCAGAAGCAAAGTCCACCTCCAACAGCTAAGCCAGTAATACCCCCATATGGCATCGATAGATTTGATTCCAGCATTGAATTTAAGCCTCCAGATACTCCTACTAACTCTTCAGAAAAACAAAAAAATTCCAACAACTATCACAGAGCTGAAGGCCAAAATTCTGGGAACTTCTTAACTGTAAGCTCTCGTTTTTTTTTTTTTTTTTTTTGTTATGAACTATATTTTGAAAATTCAACTCTGCAGCTACACCTTAATTATTATAAATTTATAATGTATTTTTCTACCAAATGATATTTATTCAGGATCGTCCGACGATAAAAGTTAAATCAGCTCCTGGTGGAGATTCATCACTTGGGTACTTGTTTGGAGCTAAGTGAGTACTTTAATTTCTCCCAAATTCTACCCGGCTAATAAATATTTTGATTGTGATTTTGGGAGAAATTAAGAAAAAAGATGTGTATAATAAGAGGGATTTATCAATCCCCATAAGTGTGAGATTTGCAAGGGTACGTACTTCAATTTGTTTGTTTTATATTTGGAGGCTGGGAACACGAAGGTGAAGATCAAAGACTGGGTATATAACTACAAAAAATGTACGTTTTAATGATCCCCCCTTATGATGGAATTTATTAGCTAGGTTAGCATATATATATATATATATATATATATATATATATTTGGGGTTTGCTAAGTTTGTATTACACTGCTATATATGAGTATATGATTTTAAGTTTTCTTTTGGTATTTGAATTCTGTATGGTCCAATTATATGTAGAATTGTTTGTCTATCAATACACACTGTCAGATTTGGAAACTCGAAAATGACCCCGTTTTGGGGTTCATTTGAACTTTGAAGATTGCCAACTATGTTCTCACTAAATCGAATTGGTACTCGTTTTTTCTTTTCCTTAGCTTCTGTATTGATTTTTCCTTACCAACTAATGGAAATTTAGTTCATGGTTTGGTCTCTCTACGTCTTCCAGTTGTGGCTCTGTATTCTCATGCTATATTCTAACATACGTTTTTTTTTTCCTTCATTTATTTTCCAATTAATTTAATGCTTACGATTTCCAGTAATTTTATTTGATATTGATTCTTCCAATGATATGTTTTTTTTGTTGTTTAATTAATTCATGGCCATGGAAACAAAACTATTCGTTTCCACGTACATTGAGTTAATCTCATGTCGATGATTAAAGCTTTCAACCTTCATGTATAGCTTGTGTAGTTATCGCAATTTATATTTAATCATAAAACTTGAATAAACTATTACGTACGTACTTTTTCTTATCTCTCCCTAGCTTGATTATTTTTCTGTTTTTTAATGTCATCGCGGAAACTGAAAATTTGTTCCGGGAACCAACTTTTCCTTATATTTTGCATGTCCCTTGAATGTTAGACATAAACCAACTCCACTTAGATAAGTAGCATTTTGTCGATTGGATCATCATCATCTTATATTATTCATATATATGTTTATATGTAGGTTATATAATGGTTGTTTCCTTGTCTATGTGCTTCTCACCCTCTCCATACGATTGAAGAAGACTGATAACCCTATTAAGAAGGTTGAAAACAGTATGAAAATTGTGCTTTAATTTGCCACATTGTGGAGCCTGGTTTTCACTGCCATCATATTAATAAGTCAATCACTTGCTGACGTAAATTAAACTTACTGGTACTGGTTTTCACTGCCTTCATATTAATAAGTCAATCATTTGCCTGACTAATTAAGCGAAGAACATACATGCAACTAATGAAACATTGCATTATTTAAGGAGGCCTGTTTTGCAAGATATCTAGGTTTGCTAGGTAGCTAGGTAAACATGAATTTCAACCAGATTTCAAGTTGTTATTGCATGAATATATAATATATGTGGCCTCAAGAATATCATTAAAAAATAACATGTGCAAATGCAATTGCTTTTTGTTCTTGTTTAACAAAAAATAACATGTGCAAATGCAATTGCTTTTTGCTCTTGTTTAACCCTTGATAACCTAATCTTAACTCATATTGGCGCGGAGCCACACCAAAGGCTACAGCAGGCTGTAGCCGAGAAAGGGTTTGCGGCAATGTATGCACTTTGGTGTATAGCCTAATATAATAGACAAAATAAATGCAAGAAAAATTATTTTTTAATAAAACTAGCCTAGTGACTATTTAGCACAACTACAAATATAAAAATTACTATGGAAATTTTGATGTTATTTTGTTCAAGATTATTCTGTTTTGATTTAGTGTGTATTATATTATTTTCAATCAATTTTTTATTAAGATTGCGTTTACTTCTTCTTTCATTGTTTTGTTTTGTGCCAGTTGTGTGGTTGTAATTGAGATTGTCCATATATGATAGTTTTCTCTCTTCTTCTTGTGTTTGCATCTAAAAACATATAAAACTAGATGATTTCTTGTAATTTTTGCAGTTTGCAGTTGCTAAGCTTATTAAGTTCATGCCAAACAAATTTTAAAGTATACAAGTACAAAAGTTAAACTTAAATTTTTGCATCAGTATGTGTATAGCAAAAAATATATAATTTAATTTTAGAGTATTTTTTAGCTAGCCAACCAATAAAAATTTCTGGCTCTGCCATTACTCGTATTCCCAACCCCCCTCGCCACTAGATACGCAGTTGTTGTTTTCTTTGCATGCTCAAATTACAGGAATTCTGGCAGCAGATTATGCTCAAATGCTTAAGCCAACAACTCCTGGGATCATCAGCTACAAGTGGAATTTTTTTATCCATTTTCATATTTCTTAAATTTGAAACTTCTATAACAAAAATAGAGTTCGTTTTATCTTGAAATATCTTCAATTCATTAAAAAAAAGAAAAAAAAAACTAGTACTCATATATACAATCTATCACTTCAATATCATACTTAAATACAAACTCACATTACAAGGCTTGACAGTACTGATCTCTGATTGTAAAATACCCTCAATTATATGCTCATCATTGTAACACTGTTTACTATGCCTCATTTTGACTTGTTAATTCGTTTGGCTTTGTTAGTAAATGTCATGCCTGATTAGTTTCTAAAACAATATTACTTAGTTACTTTTTACAGGTTCGTGAATTATATTTTTCACTTTCTAAGTTACATTTCGTTGTTTTATTGTCTTAAATCAATGGGGAAAACCACTGAATATCACATAACTATTTCATTATTCTTTTTATGACATAAGCAATATTTTACATCAAATTCATCTAAACTACAAACAAAAAAACGCACTGTTTTACCAAATATGATTAAAGCTCAGATATGCAAAATTATTCTATTAATTATAGAATTAATAATCGATTGCTTTTTGACTTATTCAAATAGGTTACGAGAATTTAATTTTCTAAATATTAAATTTTAATACTTTAAAATCGTATTAATTTATATTTTTCTATAATTAATAACGTGGCAGACGTTGAACCGATTTTTGCATTGCATAAAAGCCTAACTACACTTTCCACATGTCGGCCCAACTTCGTCTCTTAATTGAGCTTACTTTGACCACTGGGTTTGTCAAGTCTCTTCACAAAATTAGCCCAATATTTTCCTCTCGCGGCACTTTAATTTTAATCTTTCGTATGTGGACTTACACATATAATGCAATAGCAACGCAGATGAAATTTAATTTGATATAAATTTAATTTTGTGAATTATTATTCGGTTTAGTCTAATTTATCGGATTAGGTCCCATAATTCAGCGCTTTTTTTATTGAATTGTGATAAATATCATCCCTTATTATTGTTGTGGCTTGTTTTATCTGACAAGGAGAGAGAGGGTCCGGCGGCAAAGAAAGAGATGTGTTTGTAGGGTTGTGTAAAGAATGTGTTATTCCTCTTACGCAGTGCCTTTATTTATAGTAATAAGGGAGGGAATAATCCTTCTCCTCTAAGGAATACAAGTCCTAATAGAGAAGAATAACTAGTATCAAATCTAATCTAGAATTTACACAATCACACCTAAATAAGAAGTTTATAACACTCCCCCTTAAGTGTGTAGATACTCAATTAGATTCGGCATCATGTAAAGTTGAGGAAGTTGACTCGTTGACACTGATTCTGGGAACACATTAGTGTCAAAGTAAAGTAGGAACTTGCATAAGGAACTAAGTCTCACAAAAAAAACCAACGGCTATGGTAAAACCCAAGTAGGAACAAAAACCCATAGTCTAAGGAAAAATGCGTGAGAAATGAAATGTCAAATGAAACATCTACAAGACGTCATCAGGGATATGATCAACCCAAGGTGGGTGCCTCATCAAAACCTCGTTAGGTAGCAAAAACCCAAAGGGAAAATGCTCCTAATCGTAGGAAAAAAAAGTACATTAAGATCAAGCAAATATAATTCAGGATATTCCCCCTAAGTTTGACATAATTCCAAAAAGAACTAACAATGTTACAACTCAGAAAACTTATGCATACCATTTCCTTGAATAAGCTTCTGAAACGTCACATTCGGTAGTGATTTGGTGAAGAGGTCGGCCAGATTGTCTTATGAATGGATTTGCGTGACTTCAATCTTTTGATGCTCTTGTTGTTGATATGAGAAGAAGAACTTCGACACAATGTGCTTGGTGTTGTCTCCTTTGATGTAACCCTTCTTGAGTTGTTTGATCCATGCTGCATTGTCTTCATAGATCATCGTCGAGACATCAACGACAAGGCAAAGATTGCAGGAGCATCAAATATGGCCCACAACTGCTCTCAACCAGAAGCATTCCTTAGTTGCTTCGTGTAAGGCCAGAATTTCAGCATGGTTAAACGAAGTGGCAACTAAGGCCTGTTTAGTTAACCTCCAAGAGATTGCGATGCCTCCAACAATAAAGACATAACCCGTTTGAGAACACGCTTTATCCAGATCATATAAGTATCATGCGTCGGTATAACCAACAAGGCGAGAATCGACTCGAGATAAAGGGGTGCGACATTACTCGAGGATCCGTAGGGATAGAACAAGCCCAAATCCATAATACCCTTAAGGTAATAGAAGATGTCTTTAACACAAGTCAAATGTCTGCGTGATGGTGCATTACAGTTCTTGCCAAAAGATTAATAGCGAAGGAGATGTCGGGTCTAGTGCATTGAGCTAAGTACAATAAAGCGCCTATCTCACTTAGATAAGGAACTTCAGGCTCCAAAATCTCTTCATCATCCTCATTCGAACGGAAGGGATCTCATTTTGCATCTAGCGATCAAACAACCATAAGAGTACTCGAAGGCTTCGCTTTATCCTTGTTAAAGCGGCACAACACCTTTTGGGTGTAGTTCGATTGATGTACTAAGATTTCATCCGAACGGTGTTATATCTCAAGACCGAGATAGTATCAAGTCTTTCTTAGATCTTTCATCTCAAATTACGACTTCAGGTGTGTGGTAGTTCTCTCGAGCTCTTTAGGAATTTCGATGAGGTTCATGTCGTCGACATGAACTGCAACAATCGCAAAATCGGAATGTGACTTGACTAGTCAAATAAAAAGGCATAGTTCGTTGTTCACAGATCCTTGACTAGTCAAATACTCACTCAGACGGTTATACCATATTCTTCCGGATTGCTTCAAACCGTATATAGTGAATGCCTCAGTCGAATTAAGAGCGTGTTCCAGGGTTTGGAAATATTTGATCTAGTCAATGTAAGTCATTCGGAAACTTTCATACAAATTTTCGTATCAAAATCCCCATAGAGATACGCAGTTACTACATCCAGCAGTTGGATACTCATTTTTTCGGAAACTACCATACTAATAGGGTAGCGAAAAGTAATCACATCCATAACGGGTGAATAAGTTTTGTGTAATACCCTGAAAATTTAAATACA